CCAGTAGCCTGCTGGATCTATTTCTGACCACGCATCCTGCCCCTTACAGCACTGCTGTCCTGTCCCCCCTGGGTAACTCAGATCACGGTGTTGTGGAGGTTAGGTTTCGGTCCGAAACCGCTGTGGCAGCAGAAACTCGCACAGGCCGCAAAACTTGGCATTACGGACATGCCGACTGGGAGGGGCTCAGAGACTTCTTCTCTAGTTTTCCTTGGAGAGATGTCTGTTTCACTGACGCGGATGCGTCGACTGTCTGTTCTTCAATAACCGAAATTATCCACGTCGGAATGGAGGAATACATCCCTCACACAGTGAAAGTTCCTAAACCAGGGTCCAACGGCTGGTTCAACAAATCGTGTGACACTGCTCGCCAGCAGAAGATCAAGGCCCACAGAACCTACTTACCCCACTACCCCACTGTAGAGAACAGACAAGCCGACGTCGAGTCCAGAAACAAATATAACGAAGCGGTTCGCAATGCCAAAAACCAGCATGATATAAAAGTTAGGCACAGGGTAATGTCGCAGCGCAATGGCAGTCGGTCTTTCTGGACGCTGGCCAAGCGGATTGAAAAGAACTTCTCACACAGTAGCCTTCCACCACTTACGTGTCAGGATGGAACTATTGTATTCGACTCAAAGGCCAAGGCGGAAGTGCTAGCCAAGATCTTTGCTGCCAACTCCACCATGGACGTCCCCACCAACGCCCAAGTGCCGTCAATTCAAAGGGTTCCCCACACTATGCGGGAGGTAACATTCAGGCATAAGACCGTAAGACGAGTGCTCTTGTCGCTCGACATCAACAAAGCTTCTGGTCCGGACTTGATTCCTGCCATTGTACTGAAGAGATGTGCAGCGGAGCTTGCTCCAGTTCTTTCGCGTCTCTTCCAGATATCTTATGAATCCGGCACCTTCCCAGAAAACTGGAAATTTGCTCATGTACAGCCCATCCCAAAAAAAGGATCTAAAACCGACCCTTACAACTACAGGCCTATAGCTCTGCTTTCTGTTATAAGTAAAGTGATGGAGAGGTGCATAAATCGCGAGCTTCTGGACTACCTCGAACGTCACAGCTTGATTAGCGACAAGCAGTACGGTTTCCGGCACCAACGATCCACAGGGGACCTCCTAGCTTACGTCACGCAACTGTGGAGTAAACTCATCCAGTCTCATGGTGAGGCTCATGTCGTTGCTCTTGACATCACGAAAGCGTTCGATCAGCTGTGGCACGCTGCCCTCTTAAGCAAACTTCCATCCTACGGCCTCCCAGAAAAGCTTTGCAGATGGGTGGCTGACTTTATCTCTGGCCGCAAGATATCCGTCGTAATTGACGGATTCTCCTCTTCATCCCACAACGTCAACGCGGGTGTTTCCCAGGGATCGGTCTTGGCTCCAATACTGTTTCTCTTACATATCAACGACCTCCTTTCCTGCACGATCAACCCAATCCACAGCTTCGTTGATGACAGCACTCTACATGCAGGAATTCAGACTGACAAGCCGATCTCTGCCGCTGAGCTGGAAAAAAGAAGACTAGCGACGACTTCTTCTCTGACAAGAGACCTGGAGGCTATCACTGCTTGGGGACGCAACAATCTTGTACAGTTCAATGCTTCCAAAACACAGTACTGTACTTTGACGAACAAAAAGCGTCCTAGCGCTCATACAGTTTCGATGGACGGTCGAGTTCTACCAAAGAGCCGTTCATTTCGGCTGGTCGGAGTCCAGATCACCGAGGACCTGATCTGGCACGAACACATCCCTTCAATAGCTGCAGCTGCTGGGAAAAAGCTAGGCTATTTGTTTAGGGCTAAGAAGTACTTTTCTCCGCATGACCTTCTCACTCTATACAAGGCCCAGATAAGGCCTAGCCTCGAGTATTGTTCACACATTTGGGGTGCTGCCGCCCCGACTACATTGTCCATGCTCGATGCTGTCCAGAGGAGGGCGGTCCGACTGATCGATGACTCTTCTCTAACAGACAGTCTCGGGACTCTTTCGCACCGGCGGGCCGTCGGCGATCTAGCTCTTTTCTATCGCTACACCAACGGGCTTTGCTCCTCAGAGCTCTCTTCTATGATGCCGCCGCGCGATGTGCCTGCCAGACAGACCCGCCTGACTTCTTCGTCCCATCCTAACCGTGTCAAACTTCGTACATCCAGAACTGGCCGATACGACCGCTCCTTTGTCCCGAGGGTGTCTAGATTGTGGAACAATCTACGGGAGGAAGCTTTTCCCAGTTCTACTAACCTTAGGCAGTTCAAAAATCGTATTAACAAAATTTCTTTGGGATCATCATAGCAGCCGCGGTGTTCCGGCATTTAGGCTTCTGCCTGCGCGGCTGTTTCGATATAAAAAAAAAAAAATTCTAAGAAGAACGTCTGGGAGCTGGAGGTGCAGATTTTGGATTATGACAAGTTGCGTTTCGCCAGTGATATGAGAAGCTGTGTGCCTTGCGTACTTCGGTGTAGTTTCTGTTATCCTGATAGCAAATCGGTATATGTGGTTTGGTTCGGCCTGACAAACATTATTAGCAGCATTAGCATTATTAGGATTAGCAAATCAATGTTTATTTTCGAATTTTTTAAGGAAACAGTCTAATTGACGGCTTTCGGCTATTGTGGATTTTGTATTAGAATTGCAGCAACGACGAGAGGTACGATCAGAAGCAACGTACATTTTTTCATAGCTACTCGAGTTTCTGTCATCTTGATAGCAAATTGCTACTTTGAGGTGTGGATTTTGGCTATTACAGATTTTGTAATGGGATCGCAGCAACGTCGAGAGATCTTCCCGCCAATGTCATTAATATTTGGAGAGATTTCCTACTTCCGTTTCAGTGATCCTGATAGCAAATTGCCGTTTATGAATTTAGACCCTTCTACGAAGAAGGTCTTGAAGTGTAGATTACAACTTTAATATATTTTCTATCAGGATCTCAGAAACAGTGAGATGTTTTTTTTGCCAGTGTCACTGACATCAGGAGTGGAGTGGCTTTTCAACACCTCATCGTATTTCGGTTATCCTGTTAACAAAATGCTACTGATGTATGTGGACGCTTCTATGACGAAAGTCTGACGGCCTGAGATGCATCGCAGAAATTAGGAGAGATCTTCCCGCCAGTGATACCAGGAACAGTGTAGCGCCTCCATACCATGTCACGACGAGAGGTATTCCTGCCAGTGATATCAGGAAAATTGTACCTATTCTATACCTCCGCGTTTCTGTCATCCTGATAGCAAAATGCTACCGATAAACATTGATGCTTCTACGAAGAAGTTCCGATGGATTGAAGCGTAGATTACGGCTTTAACATATCTTGTATCAGGATGGCAGAAACAATGGCAGTGCCATTGATATCAGAAGCAGATTTCATTTTCAATACTTCACCGCGTTTCTGTTGTCCTAATAACAAATTGTTACTTATGAATATCGACTCTTCTATGACGAAAGTTTGACGGCGTGAGGTGCATATTTCGGCTGTTACAGATTTTGTATTAGGATCATAGAAACGTCGAGAGGTATTTCCGCCAGTGATATCAAGAGTAGTGTACTTTTTCCATACCTTCTCGCGTTTCTGTTATCCTGTTAGCAGCCTGCTACTGCTGAACCTTGATACTTCTATGAACAAAGTCTGGTGTCGGCTATTACAGATTTCGTAATGGGATAGCAGCAACGACGAGAGGTAGTTCCCGTGAATGTTACTGATATTTGGAGCAAATTGCTTTTTACATATCTACTCCTGTTTCTGTGGCACTCATAGCAAAATCGGTGTTTATCAAGTCGACACTGTCACAGAGTTTGCATTAGGATCGCAGACACGACGAGTTGCGTCCCCGCCAGTCATATCAGGAACAGTGTGTTCATTTCATACCTTCTCGCGCTTCGGTTATCCTGTTAGCAAATTGCGGTTTATCAATTTTGACGTACATATTTCGACAGATTTTGTATTAGCATCGCAGAAACGACTAGAGGTGTGCCCGCCAGTGACACAAGGACCAATGTACCTCGCGTTTATGTTATCCTGATAGCAAACTGATAAATATGATTCGTGGCGGTTCTACGAAGAAAGTCTTGAAGTGCAGATTTCGTTTGTTGCAGATCGTATTAGGATCGCAGACATGACGAGATGCGTCCCCGCCAGTGATATCAGGAACAGTGTGTTTATTTCATACCGTCTCGCCCTTCTCTTATCCTGATAGCAAATTGCGGTTTGTCAATTCTGACGCTTCGAAGATGGTTTGAGATGCTGACTTCGGCTGTAACAGATTTTGTATTAGGATCGCAGAAACGACCTCTGCCCGCCAGCGATACAAGGACCAATGTATCTAGTCCATACTACCTCGCCCTTATGTTGTCCTGGTAGCAAACTGATCGATATGTTTCGTGGCGGTTCTACGAAGAAAACCTTGAAGTGCAGATTTCGTTTATTGCAAAGTTTACATTAGGATCGCAGATACGACGATATGCGTCCCCGACAGTGATATCAGGAACAGTGTGTTCGTTTCATACCTTCTCGCGCTTTTGTTATCCTGATAACAAATTGCGGTTCATCAATTTTGACGCTTCCACGATGGTTTAAGATGCGGATTTCGGCTACTACAGATTTTGTGTTAGGATCGCAGAAACGACTACAGGTGTGCCCGCCAGTGATACAAGGACCAATGTACCTAGTCCATACTAAATCGCGCTTATGTTATCCTGATAGCAAACTGATAGATATGATGCGTGGCGGTTCTACAAAGAAAGTCTTGAAGGTTTCGTTTGTTGCAGACACAACGAGATCCGTCCCTTGCAGTCATATCAGGAACATTGTGTTTATTTCGTACCTTCTCGCGCTTGTTATCTTGATAATAAATTGAGGTTTATCAATTGCTATTGATGAGAATCTTGATACTTCTACGATGAAAATTGCTTCTGATTAAGATCGACGCTTCCTCGAAGCCTGACGGCTTGACATATGGATTTTTTTATATTTTTTTATTTTGGAAATTTTTCTAGCAAAGACAAGGAATACCAGGCATAGAAAATGACAAAAATCATTATTAATGTTTTATTTTCTCATTTTTATTATACAAACAATATTACAAGTATTACAAGTTAATATACAGTTTAAAAATGCTTGAATCTATAGAGGGCTTTTGATACAACGTGAAATAAAACAACGAATGGCACAATATATACGGTTGTGAGTTAAACATATGGGCAAGACGCTCGATTTCATTTGCAAAAATCTATATGAATTGGGGAATAAAAACAAAAAAATGTATAACACGTTTTCTGCTAATTTTACACAGTATCTGAAGAAATTATGCCAAACTGCAAGATACATTTCTTTAACAACCTCTATGAAAAATATGTACAAGTTCAAGCTATCTAAAAATAGTTTAATAAATACTTATTCAAGTAGTAGTAACTGTAAGTATCATCAGCCGTATTAAAATTACTTAGTTCAATACAAAAATTACCTGTTCCTTAAAAATTAGTGGACGGACTCTTGAGTCTTACAAACTGATTTTTTTCTCATCATTCTAATATCTATGAACATTTAACAAACAAGTACAGCTATTTGCCTTGTACAATGACGCTCGCTTGCAGCGCTATTAACGCACTTCTATATGGAGAAAACAGCAAAGTCAAATTCGAGAAATGATATAAAATATGAAAGAACCTTATGTTTTTCTGGCTAAATAGAACCACATATATAGAAATTACTGAAGTTTCAGCCACCTGTGGCCTTTTTTAAAGTGACATCTAAAACTAATGAATGATTATCTTAAATTTAGCCTAAAATTTTCCAAGATAGTCAGAGGCCGAAATAAAATGTTTTTTGCGATTTTTGGTGGAGATATTGAGGCGAATGACTAAGAGCCGTTTTACACACACGAGAATTACTCCGAAAATTATGGTTATAATTATGCCGAAAATTTTTGCTGCCGTATTACACCTAAAAGAATTCTTGTGAAAGTTTTCATGGTAAAAATATAAAACCAGTTCTATAGAATATGCACGAGAATCGGCGCAGAGGGTTATTTCCGTGCATGTCATTATCAAATGTCAACGTCAACAACATAACCTCACTTAACATTTGTGGGTGTGGTCCTGTTCGAGTCGTACGAAGAAGCGTTTATTGTTATTGTTTATTCATAATGTCGTGGAATCGGGAAGAAGTTACACTATTGTTGGAGGAGTACCAAAAATGGCCAAACCTGTACAAGGTGAAGTCACTCAATTACAAACACAGAAATTTGCGGCGTCAGGCGCTGGATGCGATAGTCATTGAGAAGTTTTATAATATTAACCAAAAATAAATTTAAATCAACGACGACTGTTGTCTTTCCGATTATATTGGACGTCATACCCGTTAAGGTTATGTCCATTCGAAAATATTACTCTAATGCGCAGGCGTATCATATGAATTACTCGGAAATTTTGTTTGCTTGTGTCATACAGGTTGTAGAGAAAATCTTCATATTTTTTCCATGCAAATGTTCGGCATAATTATGACCATAATTTTCGGAGTAATTCTCTTGTGTGTAAAACGGCTCTTAGAAGAGAAAAATCTGATAAACCAGTGGTGAAAAACTGACAAACTCCATTGGACTTACACTTTAATTTGGACAATTCATATTTTTCTCTGAATTGAAATGACGAATAGAAGCTGTTCAAGTGTCTATTGTACAGAGCCAATTATAATGTCAAATACAAAAGTTAAATTCTGATCATACTGGATATGTAATTTGTTGAGTGATCAGTAAATATTGATTATACTGAGAATGAGGATTGCGTTAACAATTACCGGGGAAACGCAATAGTTCATAGTAATATGATTGCTTTCTGAAGGTATTAGACACTTATTAGTGAGCATAAGAAAAGGTAAAATCTTTGCAACGAAATATTCACAACGCACAAACAAAATAAATAGTAAAAAAACATGGTTAAGTCTTTTCAGCAGAGCTTATGGCGACCATAATATTTTATAAACAATATTCACAAAGCACTTGTAAAAAATTACCTACAAAGGATATTTGCAAAATGTATATACAACAGAAGAATGACAGCATCCATACAAAAGCTCTTGTTTTCGGTATAAATAGGAAAAAGCGCTATATCACAACTTTATATTATACAATGTACAATATAAACAACAGTAATAAAAACTAATTCTGCTTAAAAGCTGGGCACTACTTTTTGTGGTAAAATATATTATTTGATCATTGCTTATAAAAATAGCGTTTCTTTTTCTAATGATTAAGCCCGAAAATGTAATTTATATCTACCTCACTGAATACCTTGATTTATTTTACACATTGAAACATTTTTCCACATCGAGATTAATTTATTCAAATACGTATGCTATTCATAATTGCAATTAATACTGAATGGATATCATTAATCCATGGTCTCTTAAATGAAACGCATTTTGAGTAAATATTTCTATATGATGCAATAAAAAGCTCAATAGACTAATGAGTATGACAAAATCTAGGCCCGGTTTTTCAGTCGCACCTTGACTGCAATTTCACTGCTAACCGAAAGTTAAACCTGAATATTAGGTTTACCCTATACGGCAACTAATTTTAACCAGAGGACCAGGTCCTATTGAAATAGAAAGTTGTAGTTACACGGCAATATCTAATCTATTTTGCTTAACATTGTCATGAAGCACGAATATGGAGAGTTACGGAAAGCTGATATGCAGAGATGGTTGGAGGATAAGAACATCCCATATGCTGAAAGCAGCACTAAAAGCGAGTTGTGGGAGATTATCGACCAACTTCCAAAACTGCAGAAGAAGTATATTGTGGATAATCTGCTTCAAGAGAAAGGTTATGCCTCCCTGCCATTGTCATTATAATGCTATTGAGATGATTTGGAGTCAAGCGAAGCGATTTTATGACAAGCACATTCTACAAGCAAAGGATGTGATGAAGAAGTGGGAATCTGCTCTTGAATCGGTCACTCAAGAGCAGTGGGTGCACTACGTTGAGCACACACACAAGCTCATCATGGCAGATTGGGAGCTCCAAAGACGTGTGGTTGAAAATCGTCAGCCATTCATTATTAATCTGGTTGGGTCTGGTTGCAGGTTGATGTATTGTGCAAGACCAATTCCTTTTAACATCAGTGTGTTATTTTGAACAAGGTGAATTCATTATTAATTTTTATTATAGGTTCTGCACATAGTTAATCTGTAATTGAATTACGTTACATTGATGACGGACAATAAACCAGAAACACGTGTCTATATTACTTTTACAGGTAAATTTACAGCTTCTAGAAAGTACAACGCAATCTGTTCTATTGACATGCCATGTAATCAATACATTCCAGATGTACTATAATAATTTTCTAATAAACTATTCCATATCTATACTTGTACATTTTATTATCATATTTTTCACCCATTTAAAAATATAATCTTGATATGTGGACAACAGCTCTGAATACGGTCCCGAAATTCATTATTGCCAACGTTACAAATTGACAGAAATATGTCGCTTTTGTGATGGATACTCGTGAAATAAGGTATAGACCGTTATGCCACCATAAATATTTGAAATGTTTTCATTACTTAGACCGCTTATTGTTAGTGTTCCACGTTGTTACTTGCAAGTTTAGTGTGATTTTCGAAGTGTAATATTAAGTTTCTAGTGTTTGGACATGACTTCAGAAAAAGGAACTGCATCAGGTAAATTTCGAATTATAAATAGTATCAAATGTTATAGTTATTAGGAGTTCAAATTAAAACCTAACCTAAAATATTTTTCAGGGGGAGTACACTATAGCTTAGATTGAGATAATAGTGAACATGACCCTTTCGAAGCAGATGAGGATTGTGAATACTACCGATCCGAGGATTCCGATGGATCTACAGAGAGTGTTGAATCAGAAAATAGTGGGATGGAGAATATACCTTCTGCTAGTGGTATTCATGGCAAGTTATTTTCATAGAGCTAACAAACAATAATATTTATGCTTGCTTTTCATTACAGTGACTCCAAAAAATACGAAGAAACCGGACTAGATTAAGTGGTAATGAGTATGAGACTACTAAAGGAAAAAAGATTAAGAAAAAGGTGTTAAAACCATAGGACTATCGTTGCAGATATGAGTGTGACAAAATGTCTGAGGCGCAGGTAATGAATCTCTTCACCAAGTTTTATGAAATACAGACGTATGATTTACAAACGCAATATTTAGCATCTTGTATAAGGAAAACGAATGTAAAGCGACATAATAATAGAGGTTTCACAAAAAAAATTGTAACAGTATTACGTCTTATGAACTCTGGAAGGAGTATTTTCTTCATACACTTGACATATCCAATAGAAGACGACGACGAATCCAAATAATCATCTTGATTTCCATTATGAAAAGTCTTCTTCACTTAAAGTAGGTAGACCAAATTTATCTGTAGAAAACTTAAACCAACACCTTTATCCAGTCGTCCATACGCAAAGTGGGAGAATCTTAGACAGCTGTTGCCTTTTATAGCCCCAATACATCATAACTTTTACCAAAACATGGCCCATTAGCCCAAAAAGAAGAAAAATGCAAAAGAAAGTAAGCCAACGACGGAAACTGTAATGGAGGAAAATGCCCAAGAAGAAAATAATGATGAAGATCTTGACCTCTACTCTGACTGTGAAGATTATTTTTTTCCATAATGTTTACTATTGGAATAAAGTTTTCTTATTAACACGTTGAAGGACAGTAACGCCGATTGACGTCCTCCATGGCGTGGTAAATTCTGCCAGAACGCCGTGTGACGTCTGAACTTATTCTGGCAGTAAAAGGCAGGACGTTTATTGGCGTCCCATTTGCCATACCGAATGTTAAACATGGTAGCCTACTGCCACATTTGGCACTAACGATATCAGAATACTGCCGCTTTTGTTATGCTAAAAATGCTTTACACTGATGTGTGTCCCCCACTCCTTATGGAACTACCCTTTCTCTCCAAATTTACACAGAACGACGATAGACGTCCAGCGATCCATGCAAATCTAGTTAGTCATTCTTCTGGTGCCAAGGTGGACGTATGA